ACACACACATGATACACACATACATACACACAGACACACATACACATACATACATACACATACACATACATATCCACATCTAGACACATACACAGACGCACATATACACAGATACATATACACACATACACACACATATACACATCCAGACACACTCACAGAGACACACACATACAGACACACAGGTATACACACAGAGACACACAATCAGACACAGACACACACATGGTACAAGGAGGCTTATTAGGATTCAACAGTTAGTTCAACCAATTATGCTAAACATTTATCATTAATTCAGAAGATTTAAACCAGGTGGTGAGATCATCTGATCTTAGCTGCTTGGAAGGCTGAGACAGGAGGAGACCAAATTTAGAATTCAAGGCAAACCTGAGTCACTTAGCAAGACCCAATTCATCTAAAAATAAAAAGTAAATGGCAAAGGGCTGGGTTATACTCTTGTGGTAGAGCCTACCCCTGACAGGAAAGGAGCCTGTGGTTGAATCCCGAGGACTGAAAGAGAAAACAGAGTGTACTCTGATTGAGACAATCAAACTACTCTTTGAAGAAAGAAAAAAACCCACAAAAAACAAAACACAAGACACAAATACAACAACAACAACAACAACAACAACAAAACTTTTGATGAACTTCACCTTTGTCTTTGACGAGATGTTGGTGAGAGGCTGAAAAGCTCCCGGAAAGAACATTGTGTTTGACGGAAAGATGCAAGACCATGTAGGAGAAGCCGAGGGAAGCCTCTGCTTTATTTTATAATGAAGAGCATAAAGGTCGTTTTATAAGCGAGTACATGTGTAAAATGAATACGTATTTAGATAAACTTCCCTTTCTTCTCTCCTGCTAGACAAGAAAAGGTTTGCGCATTTGAAAAGGAAGTTTTTTTCTCCTTCTTTCTCAGACTAGCCTTTCATAGATGCTGAACAGATGTCTGATCTCCTCTGATAGGTTTAATTGCCTTCTTGTTTGCATAGAGCAAATAGACACGACGGCAGGGTGTGTGTGTGTGTACATGTGTGTGCGCATGTGTGTACATGTGTGTGCGCGTGTGTGTCTAAGAGATAGGAAAGACATGCGGGGCAGGGGCAGGAAACTAGAGGGCAAGAGAGAAGCAGGAGACAGAAGACAAAGGAGTAAGAAAAAAAGAAGAGTCACCTGGCAGAGCGCAGCACAGACCACGGTATTCCATCACAGAGGGTCAGCTGGGGACCCTTCCCAGATCTCAGTGCAGGGCATGGTAATCCCAACACACATGCTCCGTGCTTACTATTGAGGGGTGACACAGGACTCTGATGGAGATTGATGGTCAACGATTATGTTACTTATCGTTTTCTTACTGTAACCAGACACCCAAAAAGAAGTAACTCAAAGGAGGAAGGGTTATTTGGGTTAGAGTTCAAGAGGGTATAGTTCAACCTGGTGGGGAAGGCAAGTGGCAGAAAGATGAGATGACTGGTCACACTGTCTTCATTCAGAAACCAGAGAGGATCAGAAAGTGTAGGTGGGCTGAGAAACTTCAGGTCTGCCCTGGTGGCTGACTTCTTCCAGTTAAGCCCTACCTCAAGCCCTGTCCTCAGCAGGGAGTGCAGGGTGCAAACCTGTGAGCCTTGGTTACAGGACATTGCACACTCAAATTGCAGCAGTGGATTGATGGGAAGAAAATAGGTTCCAATGGAGAACAGATAGATGGAGATGTTTGCTCATTCTAAAGCCGTTTATTTCCAGGCCCTCTTAGTGGCTAAGCGGTTTTCTGTCCATGTACTGACTTTGTTAATGTGACAAGAACAAAATATCCCATAGGGTGTAGCTTATGAAGAGTATGAATGTATTTCCTATATTCTGGAGGCTGGAAGTCGAGGGTCAAGTAGACATTTGGTAGACATTTGGCCTCAGCCTTCTGTCTACATTTGTACATGTTGGATGAGTTGAGGTAGGCTCTTTTACAAGGGAATTGTCCCACTCTGGAGTACTCTTTCCTAATGACCCTACCTCCCAATACTGCCATCTTGGTGATCAGATTTCAGCCTATGAGTCTGGGGGGTACACACATTCATGTCAGCAAAAGAGCTCCCTGTGTAAGGCTTATCACTGTTATGAAGTATGAGTCCAAGTCTTTATGATGGACACATTATGTAGCTATTCCCATATGGAGGAAAATTTATGGAGAAGGAAGGATGTCTTTTCATAGATAATTAAAAGTCCAGTAACCTATTAAGGACTTTGCCTGAGCACTGACAGGAAGGGAATGCTTCTGGCTTGAGGCTGGTTGGCTTAAAATAAGAACCTTACCTAATGGTAGGAGGGTGGTAGGGTGGACTAGGCAGGACAGTGGTGGGTGCTTCTGGAAGGGAACCTAGTCAAAGGCCCACTGATGTACGAACATCTGCGTGCTTTCAACAGATGCATTTTTGCTCTCATATTCTGTTCCCTAGTGTGTCCAGTGAGCGTTCTGCCTGTCCTTCACACAACTTGCTTGGGGTTTCTCACTTTCTCCCCCCTGTGCTCACTCTTTCCTTTCCAGCTGAGTTTTGTTAGGTGCATTGAATGAGACCCTTTGAAGAAAAGACAGAGGTCTCCGATTACTCGAGGAGGACAGTTCACAAATCAAGGGAGACTAATACTTCTTAGGCGGGCCCAGGGTTAGGAAGAAAGAGAAAGCATACTAGGAAGAGTCAGATCTCTAGTGTGTACACAGTGTCTCTGTTGAAAGTAAGATTCTGTGCTCCAAATGAATGAATGACGTCAGTCAGTGTGTATGCCAGTGTCACACCATCTCTGGCAAAGACAAATGGCTTTGTAAGCAGCAAGGACACAGTGTTAGAAATGAAAATTAAGAACTTTTTTTCCTGCAGAGCAGTCTCTCTGTTTCATCCTGGCACTTTCCATTGGTGGGAATCTGGTGCATTCTGAGATTTCAGAGGGTTGTAGCAGAGACAGCTTTCCTTCCTTCCTTCCTTCCTTCGTTCCTTCGGTCCGACCCCCCGCACTTCCATCTTCCTTCCCTTTATCCCTCCCCCCTCCTTCCCTCCCTCGCTCTCTTTCTTTCTGTATGTTTTTTTTGCCTGCATGTATGTCTGTGTACCCTGTATGTACCGTGTGCCTGCAGAGGCCAGAAGAGGACATTGGATCCCCTGGAACTAGAATGACAGATGGTTGTGAACTACCATGTTGGTGCTGGGAGTCGAACCTGGGTCCCTCTGGAAGAGTGGCCAGTGTTCTTAACCACAAGGCCTATTATTTGATTTCTTTCTAATTTTTTAATTGGATATTTTATTTATTTATATTTCAAATGTTATCTCCTTTCCCGGTTTCCCCTCGGGAAGCTCCCTATGCCATCTCCTCCCCCTACTTCTATGAAGGTCCTGGGGGGGGGGGGGGGCCCCCCCCACCTCACCACCCTGGCATTCCCCTACACTGGGGCATGGAGCCTTCACAGGACCAAGGGCCTCTCCTCCCACTGATGACCGACAAAGCCATCCTCTGCTACATATGTGGCTGGAGCCATGAGTTCATGTGTACTCTTTGGTTGGTGGTTTAGAGATGGCTCAGCTGTTAAAGGCTAGGCTCACAACCAAAAATATAAGAGGTAGCTTCTCTTGCTTCATCTGTGAGTAGAAATACTTCTGCCGGGGAAGCTGTCAGTCTTAAGTGAAACCTCTTTAATTGCTTTCACTTAAGGTGCATGAGATAACCCCACTTTTATTGTGGCTTTTATGCTGTTCTGCAGGGGTTCACTAAAGCTCCTGAGCATTGTAAAGAGTCAGCTTCCACGGTAACTAGCCAGTAACTATTAACCATTGAATGAGCCATGGCCCATTCAGTGACAGGGCCCAGAATGCTCTCGGGTAATGATAGGCACACTGATTTGCCACAGTCCTGAGGCTGAGATGAGAACACATGTGTTATTCTCAGCAGATCTTTAACTTTGAGCTGGTGAACTCCAGACATATTGCTTTCTGAGTTCTATATAGGAGGGGCCGCTATCAGTCAATGGAGGACAGTTTCTAATTAGGGTAGAATTTCTCCTGATAAATTTTGTTCTCAGCTCCACCAGTATTTGTTGAAAGAGCAAAAAAGAAAAAAAAATCCACTCTTGGGGGATATCTGGCTTTTCATACTACTGAGGCTGGAACCAAGGCTCAGGGTTTGTGTGAAGGACACAGACATGCCAGAGAGAATAGCTTCTCTGAGATTCCCTGCTTAGCAGCATTCTATTAAACTCTCTTAGGAGTAGTCATAGGTAGACAGTAGTTCATATGAGTATGCATCTAACATTCGCTTTTAATATTTGTATTATACGTTATTAGCCACTTAATTAGCATTGCCAGTTGACCTGACTGAGAAAAGCAGAGGGGTTGTAGATGTTTAAAGGCTTGTTTGGGTAAGTCACAAATGCTCAGAGAAACTGCCGCTATAAAAAAAAAAACACATAGCCATTTGCAATTCTGATCTTGATAAGATAGAAGGCTTCATCAGCTGGCAAGGTGTCAATCCGCTTTAAGCTTTGTACTTAACCCGTGATTCCTAAAAGAAGCATGACAGGAAATAGTGAGAGAATAGACCTTTTGTAGGGAGATGGACTGAGCATCTTAGTCAGAGGAGGCTATGTTCTTCTGTATTGTGAACATAATGATTTACAGATTGTTTGATTGATTCTCCAGAGAATGGCAGTTCTCACACACTAGTGGGCAAATAGATTGATAGCAAACACTTCCGTAATATGTGTAAGTTAATTGTATTTGCTCTGTGGCCCAGGTAGTAAGTGGACTTAATAGGTAAGCTTTCACTTTGTAACACCTGCCTGTGGGTTTTTAATAGCTGAGCTAGTTAGTACTCACATAGTCTAGGTACAATCTGGGAATCATTTTGTTAGTTAACCTTCTCCATTAATGAGGAGAAAATCAAGTCTTGAAGAGGTTTTTGCCATCTTCCAAAGAAGGTGAGGAGATCTGCTGTCTGGCCAATAATCTTGCAAAATCCAGGATGACTCTCGGTTGTGAGTTTAGCTTTCTTCTCCCGTCCCTCAAGTCTCATGGTGTTTACTGTCCTTGAATTGAAATCCAGCTGGTCTCTCTGTCTCTCCCCCCACCCCCGCCTTCTCTATCAGAAGGTGCCATTCACCACCTGCTGATTTTCAACCTCCTCAGTGATGAACTTCTACTATTGTCTTAGCTTGCTGCCAAGAATCAGTCTTGGAGATTTTGGTATCCCATGCTATATTTCAGACTTTCCAGTCTAGAACAGTGGCCCTCAACTCATATGTCACCAATCCTTTGGGCAAACCTCTATCTTTAAAGATGTTTAAAAAAGAAAAAGAAAGAAAAAGAAAATAACCTGGTGGTAGTGACCCATGCCTTTAATCCCAGGCCCAGGCAGACAAATCTCTGAGTTCAAAGCCAGCCTGGTATACAGAACTAGTTCCTTGGGCTGTCAGGGCTACACAGACAAACCCAGTAAGGAAGAGGAAAACAAAGAGGAAACTAATAAAGATATTTACATGATGATTCATAACAGTAGCAAAATTACAGTTATAGAATAACAACAAAAGTAATTTTATAGTTGGGGGTCACTACAGCATAAGGAGTCACAGCATTAGGAAGGCTGAGAACCACTCTTCTAGAGCAATAGGATTCACTTTCATGAGAAATAGTAGAGGAAGTCTCCTGCCATGCAGTGTATACCAGTCACAAGTGTCCTGTAGAAAGGTCTTCGGAGGTTTGTTCTGCCTTCTAGGTTGGTGGCCGGTAGGGAGGCCTTGCTCTTGCACACAGACCATAGCTCAGTCAGTCTATCTTCCCTTGTGCAGAGATCATGAGCCAAGGACAATTTTTTTCTGTTGCCCGTTCAGTGAGAATCATTATGGAACATGGAGATGCTCCAGATGTCTGAGTGCTTTTGACTTTGGAACAAGAAGAGGATGGTCAAAATTAAGCTAGCAATAGGATTGATTGGTCTCCATGATGCCCTTGGAACGACTGTGAGACTGTTAGCTCCCCAGAGTCTTCACTTTGTCTTCAGTAATGCTTAATGATAAGAAACCAACAGCTCCCACTTGTGTGCATCAGGGTTTGTCTGAGCTCCAGGTTTGTGATGGAATTTGGTGTGTGTTTGCACTGGAAGAGGCTTGCTGCTCTGTTGTTTTGTTTTCATGAGTTGGGGATCCTGTGTAAAGGTCACACTGGTTCAGAACCCTGGCTCCTGCTGCCTCATCCCTTGGCTGCTGGGAGGATTCTCTAGTTTAGATAGTCCTTAATCTTGATCTGTTTCTAATCTCACACTTACCACAGTCCACATGGACTTTATACATTTCTAGGAATCGGGACTGTGTTAGGTCCCAGCTGGGTCTTGAGATGATGAGCAGATGTGTTGTGTGAGGTCAAGTTTAACACTTGTACGTGATGTCATGAAAATACCTGTGAATGCTATTAGGGTGTATTTTACAGCGCTGTATTCTTCTGATATATCTGGTATATTTCTGCAGCTCCTATCCCCTCTCCAACCCACTTCCATTACTCTCTCTTCCAGACTGCACAGACCGTCCTGGTGGTTGTTGTGGTATTTGGCATATCCTGGCTGCCGCATCATGTTGTCCACCTCTGGGCTGAGTTTGGAGCATTCCCGCTGACCCCAGCTTCCTTCTTCTTCAGGATCACCGCCCATTGCCTGGCATACAGCAACTCCTCAGTGAACCCCATCATATACGCCTTTCTCTCAGAAAACTTCCGGAAGGCATACAAGCAGGTGTTCAAGTGCCATGTTTGCAACGAATCACCTCGCAGTGATACTAAAGAAAACAAGAGCCGGATAGATACCCCACCATCCACCAACTGTACCCACGTGTGAGGGCTTGCCGGAGCCTCCTGTCCTCCAGCTCCCATGTGTGTTAGAGGAGGACGTAGTGAATTATCAAGTAACATGGCAGCTTGTTCTCCTGACAGCAATTCCTATCATTCTAACTATAATTCCACAGCGGTAAAAAGTACTTTGATTGTTCAGGGAACTCCTGGGTCTACAGAAGAGAATTTTTTAGTTTCATTGCACTTTATAATTGTATTTATGAAGCAAAAGAAACTTCTGTGTAGTTTCTATCTCTCAAGGAATGAAAGTCCAGTAGCACTCTACAAATATGTTCTGATCTCCACAGTATAAAGCAAGTTCTGTAAAGTAGTGAAGAATATTTGAAATCCACATTTCAAAGCCAGTTAATATAGGGAAAAGTTCTTTTTTTGTTTTAAATTTTGAGAGGAGAGGTAATAGTCTAGTCTGTGCTTTAAAATACAATTGTGGGCACAGAGTAGTGAATTTTATTTTATCGAACCTTTGTGGACTGGCGCCTCTCAGGAGCCAGGGGTGGCTCATTTTCAAAGTTTGTTTCCATGGGTGTCCAGAGATCTGTCTGGGAATGTGAGACCCATCAAGTTCATCTCATGAGATCAGTGGTGACTCTACTTTGAAGCAATCTTGTGAACTTGGAGGTTTAGTATGAACTAAGCAACTCCAGGTAGTCTGATGAGGACTGCTGCAAACCTGAGTGTTGTAGTTTTAATGTTCTCTGCAAATGTGTTAGCTGTGCCTCCAAAGAATCCAGGAAACTAGTCAGCCAGTAACTTCCACAGGGTTGAGAACTGGACAAAACTTAGCCACGTGGCTGATATTCATGCCACATGGAGAAAGCAGGAGAGATGTTTGATTCAGAATGACTGAAGACAAAGGTATTCTGTGGGAGAATAGATCCACACAGGGACGTCCTGCCTTATGCAGATGTGTACCAACAAATGTCTAATGATTGTTTCCCCAAATATTAGTCCCTAGAGCAATGTTAACTTAGAATTAAAATCATCACCACGTGACTTACAAATGTAACTTTCACGACAAATTTCATATTTATTTATACTTATCATAGGAAAATGCTGTGAAAATCCTAAGTTGTCCTATCTTAGAAGAATAATGTTTAGATTTAAGACGTTGATAATATTTTAGGAGGTAGGAAACAAAGCAAGACACTTTAAGAAAAATATCAAAAAGGGTATTGTGTCTGTGCCAAATCAGGACTCCTTATGAAACATCTAATTTAGGTTAAAAAAATGTAAACTTCTGGCACGTTGACTTTTCTAGCTCATCCATTTATTTTCGTGACTACATCCCTGGAAACAGTGTTTGCATTTGCAAAGGCCTAAGTCAGACTCTGGATGGAAATGGGGAAACTGTTGGAATCCTGGGGTATGAAGAGTTTTCAGTGGGGCAGGACATGTATGCTGGTGTTGCTGGGTGTTTTAAAGGGAATTGTAGACCCTTTGTATGGATTCTTTTTGATTGCACTTTATTTAATACAGGAGCAGAAATACCTTATCTAGAAAAAGATACCTCCTGTGATTGGGGGAATCTGAAGCTGTCATTGTGAAGGTATGTCGTTGGCATACCTTCTTCATTTACACTGTCCACAGAGGCGCTTGGTCAAACCTGTATGTGAGATTTCCTGTGCTCTAAGAGTTCCTTATTCTCTTCTGGTCAGAGGCATCATAGACGAAAGCCAACACTATGGCCTTGAGGCAAGGCTTATTTAGAAGGCATGTTGGGATGAATGTTGGCCACAGGTGTTCACACACCCGTAAGGCTTGGTCTTGCCCAGACAGCAGCATCTAAAGGTCAGGACTACAGCAAGAATGTGACAGTGTGTACCTGCAAACCCCAAATTAGCTAAAGATCCATTCAAACTGCTCCTGCTCCCGGAAGATGCTTCTTGTAGACTGTCATTCTAACTGTTTTCTCTTCCCTTGTGCTTGACTGTATTTCTAAAACAACTTAGAATCCTGACTGTAGCTACTTCCTGGGAAGATGGGAGACTGAAAGCTCTGGAAGGTGTTCCTATGACCTGGGGCAGATAAGTCACCCTGATGAGTGCAGCAAGAGCCCACACGTGTCAATCTTCTTCTTCTTCCTGGTAAGTGATTACAAAGGTCAGTTTGGAGGCAGTGGATGATGGTGACCTCCCCGACACAAGGACATTTCCTGCAGCCTGGTGGAAGAAGAAATGTGCAGGCCTTTAAAGCAGGGCCAGCTGTCTGCAGAGCTCTGCTTTCTAGGGTGTTACAGAGAAAATTGATGTTTTTCGACTACAAGCTTTTCTGCTGCAGTTCTCTGAGGCAGCTGTTATTTTGTGGATCTTTACTTCATGCAGAGACGGACTTGGATATATTTAAGTAACTGGAATGTTTGCTGTTACACACACACACACACACACACACACACATACACATGTGCACACACTTTCGACCACAAATGTATTCCAGCAGTGCAGGAGCCTGAGGCCCCCTTCTGAATATTATAGTCAAATTATTGTTGCTTTTAACTAAATTGTTCTATTTACACATTGGGAGTAGAACAGTTTCCTGTCTCCCTTTGTCCATTTTCTGTACATTTATCCTCTTGTCTCAGCTTCCTGCCTCTTTTTACACAGTTAATCCCACCTCCCCCAGATATGACAGGGTAGAGCAGAGCGAGCTGGCTGGGTTCATGAGTCATGCAGGGCCTGGAACTTATGATTCAATTTCAAATCAGAATGGGGTGGGTCACTGTTCTACCCACCTCTCAGGTGCACAGAGGTCCAGCTGTGATAATTTCACTCTGCTGACTGAAACCACAGGTCATGCTGCTGCTGACAGGAGAGGACCACCCACCTAAATACCCGCTTCCTTCCGTACTGGGCTACAGAGCCCCTTAGCACCCCGTGCTTGTGATAAAACCACAAGAACCATGGGTGTGTGGCTGCATGATGCTCTCAGCTTTAAGGGAGTTGTGACATACGTATGTGTGCATCACAAAGCATGGCGACTGGAGAAATGCATGGCTGGGTTATTTGCTGAGGAAACTCAGCTACCCAGCATGCTCCAGTTCCCATCCGTGTTGGCTGAAAATGTTTCTCATGGTTTCAGTTTGTAAGTGGCTGTCTAGGGAAGTGAGTCAGATCCTCGGCCGTTCAAGAGTTGAACACCAGGTTTCTTCTTGATGACGCGTTAATAACTTGTCTAGTTAGCACTTCGTTTATTATGCTGGTCATAGGCAGCAGGTGGCCATGGAGGCTCACCATCACTAATTGGCTGGCAAATGTAACCATATCTGGGTTAAAGCAATAGCATATTTGAGGATTTTCCCTGTGGGAAGTGAAAAGGTTGAGTGCAAAGAACTGTTTAAAAGGCGTCTCTGTGTTGTGGGTGCAAGCTGCTTCTGCATGAGGCAAGCCCATTTCAAGTCACACATTAGTCAAGATGTCCTGTTGTTTTCTTGTGCACATATCATGTCTTTGATTATACATGCTGGCTTCTCAGTGTGACAGGATCAGATGTGGTTCTGCAGGTCTGAGGTAATCCTGTCTATGAGGGTGTTCTGAAGCATTAATTAGCAGGCCTGAACATTGACTCCTTCACAGCCTTGGTGGCTGGCTGTGTCCTGGCAGCCATATTGCTGGCCCCATGAGCATCCTGGGCTCTTGAGGGCTATTCTGGGCACAATGACAGTAGTATGAACATGTGAGTGAGGGAGGAGAGGGGGAGGGGGGCGAGCTTTCCACCTCTACATGCCGTGTGGAAACGACCCCATCTAGACCATCTGAATCTACACAGCAGTGGCTGGGGCTGGCAGATTGAACAGCTGCATGACAGCCCATACTGTTGCTGAGGCTTATGATATCACCTTGGGAGGAAAGTGTGATCTTTCTGCTGAAGAACAGACTTCAGGACACTGTAGGCTGTGCTGTCTGGCTTCAGATTCATAGAAGTTAGAGAAATCAAAGTATTGAAAAGACAGATAACCCTAGTTGACTGAACTTCAAGTTTTGTAGGTTTCTTTGGGATAAAGTCTCCTGTAGCACCGAATTTTCAAAGATTAGATACTGATCATTAAATCTGGCTTATTCATGTGTCAGCCTCAGGGACTGTGAAGCCTTTTCTCTCCCTGTTAGCTTGTTTTGGGTATTGAAGCACCACTGCTCAGCCCCATGGTGACAAAGGCCTGCCTGACTGAAGTTGTAGGTAACCCTTCCATTTAATATCAGGGTGGAGCCACCTTCTCAGAGCACAGTTGACCACGTGGCCACCTGCCATTGTGCCCTACGAAGGGAGAGATTTGCTACTGACAGAACTTAGTGCCCGTCCTGGAGCTTCTGAGGGGATTCCAGGAATCAAGATCCTGGGATTCCTCAGGATCCATGGGATAGAGGGCACAAAGCCTTGCTGAACTGCTTAGGAAACCCCAGGTGGACCGTATGGCTTTCTTCTGAGAGTCTGCCCTTCTGCGGAGCTCCCTGGGGTCTGAGAACCATGGGAAGACAGTGATGTGTGTGTGTGTGTGTGTGTGTGTGTGTGTGTGTGTGTGTGAAGTTGTTGGATAAGTAGCTTCTACTTCCTCAGTCTAGTAGATGAGTATAGTTCAGCCAAGCACAGACATCTATGGACAATCTCTTGAGGAGGGAACAGCCAACCCAAGCAGCGTGCTGCTGTTCCTGTCTACGTGCGTGAATTTCTCATCCTTCTTTAGTTGCTGCCTCGCAAACGCTCTCTCACAAATGCTCTCTCCTATGCTTCTCTCAGCTATAGCCACATCCCCTCCCTTGAATGTGTCTTGCCTGTGTGGAGGGGTACTGGGGCTTGGCTACGTCTTCCATGCCATCATCATCAGGATTCTTCTTGGCTATCCCAGCAATAATCAGTTTTTAAACAGATACGTGTGAGAAATGTAGACTTCGGAAGTAGACTGTTTCTATCACAGACCACAGGTAGTTAATCAATTTTTTCCCGATTAGATTGCACCAGAGCAGGCCAGACAGGGTAGAAATGGCATTCCTCAGGTGATTTGCTACTGACAGAACTTAGTGCCAGCTTCTGAGGGGATTCTAGGAATCATGATCCTGGGGTTCCTCAGGATCCATGGAATAAATGATCCATGTCAGCAGTGAGGTCTTGAGAGGGCCACAGGTCTGAGAACCCATTTCTGGTGTGTTGGTTGTATGTTGTTCTGAAGTGCTGTGACTCTGGAGGAGGTGTACTGGCAGAGGACTGTGGTCTCCGCTCCAGAGCTTGCCTCCTGGGTCAGCAATGGTCTCCTGGGCGAGCCCTATCACGCTGTGTTCCGGAGAGCCCAGATTTCTCTTCCTATCACTGGATCCACCTCTCTAAAGACACTCCAGTCAGTGACTGAGTTTCCAGAGCTCCGTGAACTTCTCAGGTTCTATGTGCCTGACCTGTGAGAGCCATGCTCACTGCAGGGAGGAGGGTGGTGGGAGGACTCCTTTTGGGTCTACATGTCCTTGGCAAGTTATTACTTGGGGTATGGTATTCTTATCGTCTGTAAAGGAAGGTTCTAGAAAAGATATCTCAAACTTGGAATGATTTGGGAAGTCCAAATAGACCTGCTCCCCCTTTCCTGGGGGCAGAGGGTCTCAGGTTTCATGCAGGAGTTGAGGAACTCAGAGTGTGGGTCCTTCCGGCTTCATCCTGTGGGATAGGCAACCTATGGCACTTTTTGTGGTGTTCATGCTGGTGACCTCTAAGTCACAGGTAGAGAGCTACTTCATGGTTTATGAGAGGGTAAAAGGGGAACCTAGACATCTGAGTGTGTGATATAAGGCTTCTAGGATTTAGAACCATGAGTTGTCACAGGATTTAAATCACTGGGAATTTCTACCATTTGCATTGATCAGACTCTGTAACCGTTCAGGTACTGGCACTGAGGTAGCCCCAGAAACACAGGGTTTCCAGAACCTTACTGACTGCAGGAATTTGACAGCCCTTCTTCAAAAGAAGGCTTTCATGGCAAGGGCCCTGTTACTCCCTATCCTAACACAAAAGCTTAAAGTGATGTTCACAGTC